AGCTATGATTGTACCACTGCACTCTAACCTGGGTGACAGAGTAAGACCCTGTGTCTAAAAAAAAAAGGGAAATAATCATTATTTATTTTTGGTTCCCTAGGAGTATTCTGTGGGCCATAGCATTACCAGGCACTATGGCTGCTGCTGGGGCAGAGATATTTAATAAGAATCCAGTGCCCCCGCAAAGGAGCGCTTGATGGCATATTCTGGCTGCTTCAGCATTTCCTTATAGCCACCTCTCCCCCATGACCCACACTGGTATCTGTCTCATGTCACCCAAGGCCTTGACTTACAACTATCAATGGTCATCTTGACATATAAGACAATTGGGAACAGAGGGAAATACTGAACATGAGCAACAAGTTGAGTCAATAACCAAACAATTAGAGTAGAAAGAGTATATAGTTCAGGAGTGGTGCAGATGGGAGCGGTTTGTTCTAAAGGATAGCTTAAAAGGCAACCAAGCTGGGCACAGTGGCACCACATGTAGTCCCAGCTACTTGGGAGGCTGAGGCAGGAGGGTCCCTGCCCAGGCGTTCGAGGCTGTAGTGTGCTATAAACAAGCCTGTGAATAGCCATAGCACTCCAACGTGGGCAACACAGCAAGACCCTGTCTCCAAAAAAAAAAGGCAACCAAAAATATTGAAATTTGGGCTTCAGCTATAGAAAATGGAAAACCTTTTTCTCTAAACTACAGATTTTCCTCTCTTTTTTCAATGAAATATTTCAAGCATACAGAAAGAAAGAATAATGTAAGTGTGGTATTGCTCTACTCTACATAAATATTAAACCTTAGGGTTTTATATATAACTCCCAATGATTCTCACCTTCTGTCATTGTGCAGTTTCCTCTCACATTGAGTAAGTCTGATTGACATAAGAATAGGATATTATAGAAATAACAATATGACTTTTGAGGTTAGGTCATAAGATATTGAGGCTTCCAACTTGCTTTCTCTTGGATCACTCATTCTGGGGGAAGCCTGCTGGCATGTCTGAGGACAGTCACACAGCCCTATGGAGAGGTTCATGTGGTGAAGAACTAAGGCCACCTATCAACAATTAGCTCTAACTTGCCAGGCATATGAGTGAGCCATCCTGGAAGTGAATCCTCAAGCTATGGCAAAGCATTCAGATGACAACAGCCTCAGTCAACATTTGACAGCAACCTTATGAGAACTATCCAGCTAAGCTACTCTTGCATTTCTGACCCACAGAAACTGCATGAAGTAAAACTACATTTATTATTTTTTATTTTTATTTTTTGAGATGGCATCTTGCTCTGTCACTTGGGCTAGAGTGCCGTGGCATCAGCCTGGCTCACAGCAACCTCAAACTCCTGGGCTCAAGCGATTCTCCTGCCTCAGCCTCCTGAGTAGGGGGGATTACAGGCACACGCCGCCATGCCCAGCTAATTTTTCTATTTTCAGTAGAGATGGGGTCTTACTCTTGCTCAGGCTGGTCTCAAAACTCCCGAGCTCAAGCGAT